ACTTGAAACTTTTTGTTATACTCAAAATCATGTGGAATTTCATATTTCAAAATGTTTCTCAAAAAAATTTCCAAAATTGGAAAATTGGGCCCACCCAAGGTATAGGCGAATTTTGAAAATTTCCAAAATTTTTCCGAACAGAAATTTCATTATAAAATTGTTAAGATATGAAATTTTGCATGATTTTAAGTATAACACAGAAAGTTTCAAGTTCTAAAATCTCCTAGGAGTGAAAAAAATTGAATGTGAAAATTTCCAATTTTACACTGAAAAAGTGATTTTTTGGTGCTGAAACTGAAATTTCATCACATTAGAGGTTTTTATGCAGATTTTAAAAACGGGTTTATAGGTTTTAAAAGGCGCTCTTTCATCCTGTATGGTTGGTTTAACCCAATTAGCCGGACAACTTGAAAAATTCTCTTGTAAGAAATATGGCTCAAAAGTTAATAGCAACTGTGGCGCATGATGTCCTTAAATCTGGTTCTCAGTTTTCTGAAAATCGACACTTCTCCTTAGCATACCATTAACCGAAAATAAGAAACTAGAAAAATAATGAGTACAAGACATATCCAGTATCATGCATAAATCTTGGAAAACGAGATGAGAGGCTAACCAGAGAAGGACCAAGTCGACTAAAACCAAACAAGTGCACAAATAAATGGTCATAAAGCTAAAAGTGAAGCGAGTCATAAAACAAGCGTCTTCTTTCTGGATGCAGATGGCTCCGATGGCCCGTGTCTCAGAACGCACGAACCTTTTGTGGGTGGGACCCCGAATTGAATGAGAAAAATGGAAACGAAAAGCGGAGGAAATACGGGAGGAAAAATTGAACGACAAAAGCTGACGGGATAGGAATCGTAACGAGAATTCGATGTGACTGACGAGTGACGGCTCGAAAATGGGTTGCGGGGAAACGGGAAGCCGAATGGAAGTGGAAAATGGTAGGATGAGCTGTTCTTGGGAGAATGAATCACCTTGAGGAAAGGAAATGAGCCATAAATCCGACCGAACGGAGAATTGGGAAAAGAGACGCCTGCTGGGAAGAATAGATGGAAAATTCGAAAATGGTCAATTCGGGATGGGAACCGGAATGAGAAGTGACGTGAAGTGCTCAATCAAGTGTTGCGTATAGTATATTTTTGAAACGAACGAAGATCTCAAATTTTTGAAGAAAAACTCGATGGGATACTGTAGGAAGTATGACTTAACAAATCTGTTATAAGTACCACTACTCCTCCTTCAACTTTTAGTCAATCTATCTCGTTCCACGGCTGTTTATATTTAAAAGCGGCCGGAAGACAAAACATTCATCATAATATCAAAAACAGTTTATTAATCAAGAATTTTTTGTCATGTCTTACAGAAACCAAAATGAACAAAGTCAAATTTTAGTAGACTGTTAGGAGACATTTCTATCAAAGGTAATTTCAGAACCATAGTAACCAGTGATTCATATTTGTTATACAGGGAATCGGTAGGGATCTTTGTGTAGAAACTGGTAGTTGAATACGTATTCTTTGTGGCCTATAATAATTACTGAAAAGTATTTCAATTATTTGGATTACCATAAACTAATCGAAGCTCATACACTTTGAGCTCAATTACCATGAAAGATGTCAATGGTTTGTTAACTAAAAAATTATTTCTCATAATATCACCAACATTTTATTAGTTTACAAATTTCCGATATCTCTCATAAGAGTCGAGATAATTGAGATCAAAATGCAGATATATGGCGTCCTTTTTTGAAGCAGTTAATGCGGCATTTTTTGAATTTTGGGGCATTTTCAGAAATTTGGCAATGCCGCAATCTTCGAAACTTGGCAATGCGGAATGCTTTGAAATTTGTCCTCTAAAGCGATAAAAATTATTCTATCCGCTAAAGTTGAAAATCCGTTATAACTTTTTCATATCTCTTGAATTTGCTGAACCACGCAAAAAATTGCCTTACTTGGAGAACATCCTAATTTGGAACATGAAATCTTTCATCATTTTACAATCATTTCCTAGAACCCATTATCTGAAGAAATACCCATTCCGATATTTTAATGATCTGATGTCTGATCTACCTGTTTTTATCTTTCAAAAATCATATCATAAATTACCCCCCCCCCCCCATCGGGATTATTTATTTCTCATCACGTTTCCATTCCCCCGGTTTATCAATGACTAGAAACAGAGAAAGATGCAACTTGATAACAAAACGTTCATCTCATTTTTTTTTCTTGCGATTGGATTGAATTTCAAGTGTCATTGAAAAAAAGAAGTAGTTCAAAAGTTCAAGGATCTAGTAAAAAAGTATACGTGGTGTGATGATGGTGCCATCGGATTGGAACTTTGCATCAGCACTAGGGTAGTTCATATTACACCTCATTCCGTTTTTCTTTCCCGTCACCAGCCTAGCACGTTCGAGTTCGCCAAATCCAATAAGAAATCGACCACTTGGCCGTGTGCGGGCTCTACGTGCCAGCTCAGATAGAGAAAGAAAGAGAGTACTAGAGGTTTCCCATGAAATATGATAGGTCGTGTTGAAACTTGTCTCCAAGAAACCAAATGAACCGGAATTTTCTGGCAGAAAGTTGTGATACTGCTCTTACCATATCACAACTGGGCAGGAACAACAAATAATGAATCAAAAAACCATTGTAGACAGTCAAGTATGATTCATTAACTTGACACAATACAGAATACAAAAAGCAGACTTTTATTTATGACTAATATGTCGTATTCTGTTTTGTTGCATTGTGAAACGTCGTCATTAGGAAATACGGCTAGTGTAAGTGTCAAAAAAGGAGTCGAATCTCAGCGCCATGTTGTCACCTTCACCCTTCTTTCCTCCCATGCTGTGAAAAAATATGCGAAATACGAGACGAACTAAATTGGAGATAGATGTCTTCTTCTTCTCCTTATTGAGAAGTAGAAGTAGGAGCCGTGAAGGATAGCCCTTTTCTTCTTCTACTACTTTTCAATCTTCTCCGTTTTCAACCCGAACAAAAAAAAAATGAAAAATGGAAACGAGGGGAAATAGACTAATGTCGTCAGCCTCAAAAAATTGGAAATAGAAGGTAAGACTGAAGGACTTTGGAATAAGGTATGAGGTCTGCTGGAGATCCTGGAAATGTTGCGTGTTGGATGAGAGTGCTCTTCAGATTTTCATCAGTCTATGTGGTTCAAATAAGATTTTATATTTTTGGAAATATCTGCATTCTTATAAATGACTATTAATTGTTATTTTTTGAATTTCGGAAGAACTGTTCTGAAAATGGCAGCTGCTAATAACTGATACAAATAACAAAGACAAAGCTGAGATTTTTTTCGATGTTTCCACAACCTTCCAAAACCTCTTGTTATAAATCGCGCCCCAGCGAACATGAGATTTCGATTTTCAAAGTATTAAACGTACAACGATGATCCAATATTTGATTGAAAATAGAAGGCTTAAATTTAGGTCCAATTTGAAATCTCTGAATTTTTTGTGGTCTAAAAGTTATCAGGCGCGCGATTCGTGAGAGTTGTATTTCAGACTCTTGAATGATTGTTGAATTTACTGTACACAGTCTAACAATTATTTAGTCGACAATTTTGAGTCAATTTATCTCGGTCCTTTTGTATCAAAGTCACAAATATCAAAAAGTAGGCAACTGACAAAGTAATGTTGAAAATCGGATAGACGTTTTGTCAGTTGCCCACTTTTTGATATCTTTCACTTGAAACAAAATACATTGGCTGAAAGTTGACGGTTATGGGCATTCAATTGTGTACAGTATCTGAGAAATCAAAAAATTTAACATCCACATTTTTACTCAAAGTGCTACTTTGCTAAATGGGTTTATTTTTATTCAGGAAGCTGCTTACAGTAGTTTCCAACTTTTCCGATTATGGAAGTTCTACATTTTTTGGATTATCAGTCGTTTAGATTTCCGGTTTTCTGAAAATACGGGAAGATTTGCTATGGTTTCCTAAAATAGAATACCACCCTTTACTTCCCGTTTGAGCTCAATTATCGTAATTTTTCAAAAAGATATCCAAAATTTGTTTACTGTCAAAATGTCGGTGATCTTATGACAAGCATTTTTTTCCGTTGACACATTTTTATATCTCTTATGAATGTTGAGATAATTGAGGTAAAACGACAAATGGCTTTCTATTAGAGTGTTTACGATAATTTACAGTATCCTTTTTACTTAATACTCATATCCCTTTACCAGTGTTTTTTTTTCATTTTATTGTTTTCTGTTTCCGTTACCCTGAAAACCTTTCATATGTTTGACCTGATAGTTCAAATCCAGACCGAGGTCACTTCATGATCAAGATGTAGCTGATGTAGCTGATTTCGTCTTCCCAATATCATATATTCATTCTCTGTTCAGTCTTTGTTTTGTGATCGATAAGAGAAGGTTCAAAGCTGACACAATTCAATGACAAACAACAACTTCCTGCTATCCATTTTTCGTTTTTCTCTCTTTGCTATCCCATCAAAGAACGGTTTTATTGCCACCATTCGCTGGATATGGCGAAGCGAAAAAAAAAGAGAAAAAGAGAGAGAATGTGAAAATGAAGAAGAATACAGTTAGAAGACGAAGAATCAGAAGAGAAAACCAAGAGGAAGAAGCGTAGCAGATTCATTGTTGTTGACGAAAGAGCGATCATTGTGGAGACACGCCAAGAGAAGACGATCAAAAGTGTGAAACACACAAAACCATCGTCATCAACTGAAGAATGAGAAAACGGCGACAACGAAGACGGAGAGGGTAGAAAATCATTATCAATTGACTGACTTCTTCTCGCCTTGTTTTGGGAAAAAAAGGAAAAAAAGGAGAGAAAAAAGGAGAAGGATACGGAACGGTGAGTGTATGTGTGTGGTGGTTGTGGTGGTAGGAGAGGACAATATTGATATTGGCAGAACATGATTTTTACCGCCTCGAAGTGGCCTTGCTGATTCTGATGTTTTGTTTTTTCAGTGATTCCGGCACTTCTTCAATTGTTACTGCAGTAGCCGTATGGCGTCGTCCTACTTTAAGATATTGGACGTCACAGTAAGTCGTTTGACCTTTATTTCTCTCTAAAGCATTCAACCCATGTTTGTCACATTGAACCTTTTATAACACTGAACGAGTTAGATATATACTCCTTGTGTGCTCCAGAACAACTTACTTCTGATCCGTTTCGATCTCCTTATCCCAATTCTTTTTTCCAGTACAAATGTGAAAAAGAGTGCCCATGTCGTCCAGAAAACAAGCTGACCTCTGCTCTTAAGCTCCCCACTGAGCAACCAACTGCTCAATCCACGGCACAAAAAAAAGTGCGCTTCACTGTTGTCCCTGTCACCGAATCTACAACCTTCATGTCAGGAAGTCCAATCAGATCCGGGTGGTTTTGATGTCGGGATGCGTTTTGGTTGTTGTATGTCTCTACCCCTCTTCTATGTGTCCTGCGCTGACGTAGTTATGATTAAAATTTGCAAAAACATTAAATGATATTGTTTTCGGTATGATTGATATCGAATAAATCATATGACTTGATTCGAGTTCAGACATAACAGTTATCACGTTCGAGTGATAAAAAATCTCTGAGAAATGGTGACAATGTAGGGTCATAAAGTCGATTTGTTTTTATGAGGGTTGAACAGTTGAAGATCTTCAGAATTCCAAAGTTTATTGATCGGTGAGACAAATAGGTTTTTCTGATGATCTCATTTCATAAATGAAATCATATCAGTCGTGATTCCAATTTTATTGTGAATATTTGAGTTCAGAAAAAATATTTGTAATATCCTTAGAAATGTTGACCATTGTTAGAAATTTGTTCATGATTTTTCGAACAATTCAGAAGGGTTTTTTAAAAATCTGAAATACAGTATGCCGCATTTTCTCTAATAGAAGTCTACCACATTCATGCAATTCGAGCTAAATTATCTCGGTTCCTTCAAAATACATCAAAAAATTATCAACTAATGAAATGTTATTGAACTTATGAAAACATTTTCTCAGTTGAAAATTTTTGATATCTTTTGAACTTTACGAGATAATTGAACTCAAATTGTACTATCGGGTGGGCTTCTGTTAGAAAAAATACGGTATTCTCTATTTGATCTAGGTGTTCCATTATTTGCGCATATAATATTTATTACATAAAATACACTCCAAATAATATAGAAACCTTCAAAGCGTTATAGACATGAAAACTGCACAAACACACAATGTGACTACTGTTTTACAAAACTTAAACACAAAACTTAAGTTTCAAAAAATTTCAACATCTAATTCGTTTTGCAAGTGAGACGAGCACCGTTTCGTGGGGATGAACAGAACGTTCAGTTATCGTAGATGAGCGTTTTTGTGGATCTGGTAACAACACCATTATCGGCTATATCTGTAAAACAATGATGAAATTTCTCAAAGTTTTGCAAAATATGCGCATTACCGATACACAAAAACGGTTGATTTCCGGCCATCCATTTTGACCGTTGGAGTCTAAAGCACAGCAGTGAAATCCAAGCGCTTTGAAAATTTTAAAGGGTGTAAAACAGACCTAGATAGAAAACTTTGCATTCACAGAATTTTCTAAAAATTGTTTCTTTTTTGTTTTACACTTTCCAAAATTTTCAAAGTCATCGGAACTTGATAGCCGAGCTCCAGACTTCCGAAAATAGTAAAAATTGGAGGAAATAATATGAAAAATTTGTTTTTATATATCTTATTGGCCGGTACTGTAGGTATTGTTGCACAAAATCAAACTCACCAAGATTAAAACCTTCCATCGTGTTTTCGGAAAGTTGCATGAAGCTGGGACCTTCGGGATAAAATTCAGGATCGGTGGTCTGACGAAGCTCCTCTAGCCGATCACTCAATTTTTTGATTCTGTTCAGTTCTTCCTGTTTCCAGGTTTTCATGGTATCTTCAGAAGTCATAAAGGCCTTTTCGAATTCCGAAATCACGTCCCACTCTTCAAGTTCATCTAAGTAGCGGAATTTGTCCAACAATCGAACATTTTTGCTGCGTTCCTCATCCAACTCATCTTGACATTTCTCCAATTCCGCTTCTAAAACTTTGAATTTCTCCGTATCCAACAACTCCATCATTTCTTGATAATCCGACGACTCGACACGAGCTTCTTCACATTTCGGAACAATCCAGGCTTGGTCCAGAACACAACCCGTACACTCGATGACTTCTTTCAACAGTTGCGATGTCATTTTTCCCTTCAACTTTTTCATACGTTCCTCTGATTTTTTTTCTTGGCGCTTCATTTTCTTTTTAAGTTCGTTTACTTCATTTCTGGAGGTGAGCTCCGCCAACTTCAATTTCTTTTTGAGATCTTCATTTTCTTGTTTCATCTCCTTCTCGTTTTCACTAGCTCTGTGACATGAACGGAAGAATTTTGCCTGGAGCGTCAAGAACTTTTTCACGATTTTCTCCCGTTTGAAGAACATATTGACAACTACCTGAAATTCGTTTGAATTGAAAAATGAAACAAAAATTGCATTCAACGTGTGAGAATCATATCTTATCGGGAACTCGGTCAGCGAAAAAACATATAAGTGGAAAATAATTTGTAAATGAGCAAAAACTAAACCTATCTTCTTAATATCATCTTGTGTTTTATCGCCAATCCTCGAAGTTTTTCCCAGGGTGAGGGAGGTTCCGACATTATAAGATTACAACACTTTGTGGAGCAAAAAAAAATGAAGCAATGAAAAATGAAGCAAAAATCTCAAAAAATGAAGAACATTGCGTGGGGCTGAGAGTAAACTGTTGAATACGGAGGAAATTTTAAACAATATACAGGTATCGTATTTCCTCTAATATAAGCGCACAGATAATATATATATGAGTTCACGAAACGTTGAAATTTTTCTCAGGAATCGAGATAATTGAGCTCTAAGTTGACGTTTAGGGTGAGCTTTTGTTAAAGACAATAGGGTGAAAGAAATTAAACAAAACTCAATAATTACAAGATTAGACTTTTTACTTATGGAAAAAATGAACACTGAAATATATGTAGCTATACCCGTCTCAAAAACGAGATTCCTAAAGTTCCAGATTTGATAGGTACAAAAAAAAGAACTTATAGCTTCAGAGCTGTGTCATTCCGTTTTTTCCTAGGAGGCAAGTTTCCCAAAGGAAAAATCTGTCATACCAAATTTGATCTATCGTTAAAAAAATTTTTTTGAGGGTTGCCAGGTCAAGAGAACAACGAGAAGAGATTTTGATTAGGTTGTGGAAAAGTGCCCAAAAGATGAAGAGTGAAGCGCCAAACTCGCGCTGCAGGCGCACCAGCCAGACGTTTGAAGCGCCGGACGCGCGGCAAACAGGCTGGTGTGAAAAATATGAATTTTTAGTCTCGTCTAGTATAACTAGTTATTGATATATTTGCTACCCCATTTTCTCTTCTTCTTACCGGTATCATTTTTTTCTGTGTTATATATCATAATTCTCCCGGTTTCCCTCTTTCACTCAGATCGGCCTCGTGAGGGGCATTTTCTGACATGTGAGTATTTTATGTCTTTCTGTCAATAAATAGTTACAATTACAAGATCTTATTCACAGTTGACCCCCAGTTCTCTTATGTAGTAGCTTTCACGTAAACAGTTCTCATTCTTTGTATTCCCTCATAAGCAGTTGAAATAGAGAACTCACCTTTCCGACCCAAGATGAGAGAATGGATGCTGGTGATTTATTATCTGATGTCTGAGCTCAGAACAAAAGACAGATCAAATCGTCGTGAGTGAATAGAATGGAAGCAAAGGTTTCAAAAAAGAGAGCTGTGCGAGCTCCTCCCCATTGCAGTTGGGATCAAATAAATTGATAAATGAGCCCTTGCATTCAAGATGGCAGTCAAGAAGCAGGGCTAAACAGTTGTGAACTCTGGTTCGATAGACGAAAGGATGGGAATAAATCTTCAGGTCAAGTTACTAATAATACATTTTGTGGGTCGCAAAACAATCTGATCGAAATAAAATATTATTAACTTGATTTAGTAATTATATATTTCAATAAACCGGATAGTTTCGAATCTCTGATTCTAAAAATATACCGTAAAACCTCTAATAGAACGACACCCGGGTCGTCCACTTTGAGCCTATATATCTCACTTCTTTTGAAAGATATCAAAAAGTGGTTAACTAGTAAAATGTTTATCAGGATATCAGCAACATTTTA